AAAGTTCCCTTGTCTGCCTTTACAGTCAGCCAACCCCCACAGGTAGTCACTATTCTGGTTTCCATCACTATAGATTAGTTTTGTCTCTCAAATATGTAGACTTATGTCTCTTACCAAATTTGGGATGTTTTAGCCATTGGTTCGTTGAGTAGTTTTTCAGCCCCATTTTCTTTCTCCAGTCCTTCCACCATAACTCTAATGACATGAATATTAGATCTTTTTTTGTCTTGTTATCTTGTCCAAGGTCCTGAGGGTCTAGGGGGTGTGTATGTGTGAGTGTGTGTGTGTCTATTTTCTCTTTGTTGTTCAGATTGGGTAATTTCTATACTGTTCTATCTTTCAGTTCATAGGTTTCTTTTGTCCCCTCCATTCTGCTATTGAGTTTATCCACAGAGCTTTTTATTTTGGTTATTGTATTTCTGAGTTCTAAAAGTTCTGTTTGGTTCTTCTTTAAATCTTCTATTTCTTTGCTGAGGTTTTCTATTTTTTCATCTGTTTCATAATTGCTTGTTGAAGTGTTTTTTATCATGAGTGCTTTAAAATCTTTTAAAGATAATTCTAACGTCCCTGTCATCTCAGTGTTGGCATACTTTATTGTCTTTATTCATTTAGTTTGACATCTTTCTGGTTCTTGGTATGGTGAATAATTTTCTATTGAAACCTGGGCATTTTCATATCAGGAGACTCTGGACCTTCCTTATACCTTCTGTGTTTGTTGGTTTTTTCTGATACCACTCTGGCTGGGATATGGGACGTACTGTCTAGTTACTGCCAAGTGGAGGTAGAAGACCAGGCTTCCCATTCAACAACCTCTGTTGACAGCTAACGGGGGTGATTCCTTACTACTGCTGGGCGAAGGTGGGAATGCTAGCTCTCTGTGTGGTCTCCATGGACTCTGTGGTAGTGGCAGTAGTGAAGTCTTGACTCTCCACTAAGCCTCCTCTGACATCACCCCAGTTGGGAGAGAGAGGGATGCCTCATTATTCCTGGTGGAGGGGGAAGTGCAAGCGCCCTATGTGGTCTCCACCAACACAGCAGAGAGCTGGAGGACTTGGTACTGTCCAGTGGGAATGAAAGTCCCAGCTCCTTACTCATTTCTCTCTGTCACCACCCTGGCTAAGGTTTTGGGGCCCCTTGTTACAGCCTCTTGAGGGTAGAAATCTAGGCCACCCACTTGGCTTTTGCTGGCGTAGGTGGGGATGGGGCCACAGGTTTTTCTGTGGTGGTTGGTTGGAGTAGAGAGATTATTATCTAAATATTTGCTGTCTTATCAGGCTTTTGTTAGAGCTTTATTTTGTCCACAACATTGGCATTTCTGGGTTGCTGGCTTTTTCAGGTCCAAGTCTGAGATATATGACGCCAAAATATAAACCAAGGAACTCACCGCTGGTGGTCTTATGTTTGTTGTATACACAATGTTCAGGGTTTTTACTTATACTTTATGGGATGAATGTACTCCATCTATATATTTTAGTTGTCCAGCTAATTTCTTTCTATTATTTAGTAGAGACGGGGGTCTCACTCTTGCTTAGGCTGGTCTCGAACTCCTGAGCTCAAACCATCTGCCTGCCTCGGCCTCCCAGAGTGCTAGGATTACAGGCGTGAGCCACTGCGCCTGGCCTCGAAACATTTTTGAAACTCATTTTTGCAATTGTCTCCACAAAAACTTTACAAGCCTTGCCAGAAATGAGGCGCATTATTTTAGAATTTTGCCTAATTTTCCACCTCAAACACCATCTTAGAACTTAATTATCTGTCCAGACCTGGTTCTACAAACTTTTATTCATTCCTGAGGGATGATAAATTGCCAACAAATATTATTTAAATGGATGTGCTACAAGTTCTGATGGTTAGCATTTAGCCAGTTTTTCTACGTATCCACCAGTAAATTTTTATTTAACATGCTTAGTTATAGACCCTCCCCATTGTTAGCAACTATTTCATCTGAGTTCTCACTCAGCATTTAGTCTTTCCATACAGGGTACTGTGGGGCCCTGAGGAGTGAAGAGAAGGAAATCCTCTTCAGCTTCACGGGGAGGGCAATAGCCACAGTCTCCCAGCCCCGAGGGAATGGTAGTGAGGAATCAATAATAGGAAAGGCTAGGAAAATGAGACAGCTGCTCGGCTATTCCAGAATGAAAGAAATGAAAATGCATCTGGTACATTTATATTCAAATATCTAAACACCTGCTCCTGATAAAAGAAATGATTTGGAGATAGCTGTGATTTGGATTGACTGTAGCTCTGTCTCCTGCTTCTATGGGTGTCTGAAGACGCCTAAAAGCCCTAGAATCTCTCCTAGAGGGCGACCCTCCATTCATCTTTCACTGAAGGGAATTGTAGTGACATTGACAGAGCTCTCCTCAGCCCTACAGCGATTTCCCTGGTGATAAGGTGTTAAATGTTGTCCATGAAAGATACTAGGGCGATATTCCATCCAGAGGGATGGGATTAACAAGTGGTTATCGAAAACTAGGATGAAAGTGCCATAGATACTATACCAAGGGAAATGGCTGAACTTCACACCCATGTCTGTGACCTTGATACTTTTCCATTGTAATTTACAGGTATTAAAAATTCACATGCTCGGGCCCCTAAGGAATTACATGGTGTTATGAAAAGAACCGAATGTACAACCGGCAGATAATGATCAGATTAGTCACATTTAACTCCTTAAGCATATAGAGTGCAAGTTTTGTACTTTTTCTTTTTTTAACAAGAGCTACTTATGTATATTTGAAATACTCCAGAACCGCCTGGCCATAATTTTTTCACTATTATAAAAATTTATTACATAACAAAGTTAATTGTTGGAGTAAATACTTGTAAGTTTTGAGACTATGACAGACTGCTAAGTTTATTTTAGTAAAAGGCTTTTTAATAAGAAGAAATAATCCATAGATTAAAAATAGAGAAAGGACTGGGTACAATGGCTCACACCTGTAATCCTAGCACTCTGGGAGGATCCCTTGAGGTCAGGAGTTCGAGACCAGCCTGAGCAAGAGCGAGACTCTGTCTCTACCAAAAATAGAAAAAAAAAGTGATTGATATATTCCTGAGTTTTTCCTTAGTCAAATGCCAATTTCTATCTCTAATGTGTTAAATCTCCTATATATACTGACTGAATGATAGAAGAGTCTTTACCTCTTGTAGACCCTGGCATTGGGAAAAAGTGCAATCCCTGAGTGCAATCCCTGTGTTTCATAACTTCAAAACATTTTGTGACTTCAGAAGTAAAGATTGTTTCTTACCAAAAATCCACCAACTCTTGAATGCACAACTCAGGTTCATCTAAAAGTCAAAACAAAAAACATCTCTGCAAATATTGTATTTTTTCTTTTTTTTTTTTCAGACAGAGTCTCACTCTGTTGCCCAGGCTAGAGCGCGTGGCATCGTCAGCCTAGCTCACAGCAACCTCAAACTCCTGGGCTCAAGTGATCCTCCTGCCTCAGCCTCCCGAGTAGCTGGGACTACAGGCATGCGCCACCATGCCCGGCTAATTTTTTATATATATATTTTTAGTCGTCCAGGTAATTTCTTTCTATTTTTTCAGTAGAGACAGGGTCTCGCTCTTGCTCAGGGTGGTCTCGAACTCCTGAGCTCAAATGACCCACCTGCCTCCCAGAGAGCTAGGATTACTCTGCAAATATTGTTGATAGCTATTTCCACAGAATAAGGCTGAGCACAATAATCTTAAATTCCATAAGTAATGCTTCTGGATGATAGAATTGGAATAACTCCTGTTAATCTGATCGACAATTCATGGAGATCGGCTTACTTTAGTTATACTATATATTTGATAATATGTAATACACATGTTATATGTATAAAACACATTATAAGGGTATTTGTGTTCAATAAAACAATAGCTCAATGACAAATGACATTTTATTATTCAAATGATCTTACAATGTCAACATCAATTGTTAATAAAAATATATAACAGACTGAATTCATCAACGGCAAAGTCAGTTGTAATTCACTTGAAGGTTCCCACTTTTCAAAGCCTTTTGTAGATAAGTGAAAATCCTCTATTTTGTAGAATTTTAATCTTTACCTGTTAAAGATTGGGGCAAGGCAAAGGCATCCCTCTCAGTAGGAGCAAGAGGAGCAGAGATGGGACAAATACATCAGCAGACACATCTCAGGTGCCGTGAGCACTTTTCTACTCCTTCACGACTGAAAATTCTGGGTTTCAACATTCTTCAGGATTTAGCAAGTCAAAATAAAAGCATAATTCAAATCTAAACACAGATTAGAAAACTTCAGTTTCCATTTGAAGTTGATGTTTTCCCTCCTCATAGTATTTTCAATTTAAGGGAAAGAATATTAAATCTTTCTATTAAAATTTTTATATGTTGAGATTTTGGGTTCTTTTCATATTGAATTTTAAGAGATGCTGCTTTGCTTTCTATTTTTCTAGGCTATTAGGAGCAAGAATGTTCAAGCTCAATGAAAAGCAAAGACATACAATAAAGATTTTTTTCAAAGAACATTTTAACATATATGGTGGCTTGCTTTGCATATGCATGCTATAGTTAAAGACAAAATATGGATTAATTCTTATATTCAGGAAATAGATATTTACTTTCACTAATCAGTGTGTGTACGTGTGTGTGTGTGTGTGTGTGTGTGTGTGTGTGTGAAAGAGAGAGAGAGAGAAATTAGTTTTCAGTTTAAGTAATACTAATTTCCTGAGAACTCTCTAATTGGGTAAAATACTGGTATTCAGTCTTCTTACCAGGAATTGTAAGAAAAGCATACTTTGTACATTCATGAGAAACTGAAGTAGATTATTGCTTAATAACCCGATGGAACATCTGCTTAAACGGATGTTTTAGTTGAAAGAAGTGTAAACATGATTCTAAATGTATAAATATATTGGTTATTCTTCCTTGTCTGGGAGGTTGCACCAAAGTTTTTACATAGATTAGAGGAAAAGCTGAGTCTGGAAAAATTCAAAAATATTACATAAATGCAGATAAAGTAATACCATAAAGTCAGCTGGCAATTATTTTAATAATTATTTACAGGGCCTTCCATTGTGTCGCCTTTGTGACTCACATGCAAGTGACCTGAGTCACTCCATCTTCCTGATCAAACTGTCCGTCGTCTAATTCCCGGAGGACACTGTCGCTGCTGCTGAACCCAGAGAAGCTGCTGTACTGTGCTGGCCTCTCCTCCTTTGTCCAACATTCTCTGGAAGGAGAGAAGAGGCCCTCCTCAGGCGGGTGTCTGCTTTCTACAGGTTGTGACGCTGCTGTGTCTAATCCGATGCTCCTGCTGGTGACTTTGTTCCTGTCTTCACCTTTTACATGCTGGCTGGCTTTTCTCTGAAACACAAGAGATTGGCAACCAGGATTTTAAAAGATAGGTGTTTCCTGTCCCTCTGCTCTAGCACATGCTGCTTCTCTACCTCCTGGACCGTTCTTTCCGCACTCTTCAAAATCCTTCTTATCTTCAAGGGCCAGCTTGGAGCCCCCCTCCACATCCCCCGTCTGCCCCTAAGTACAAACAAGCTCCCCTCTCCCTCCTGGCACACGGTTCTCATTGGCAGGTAGGTTGTGTACACGTCTGGGCCCTCAATGACATCTCTGAGCAGAGAAATGTGTTGAAATCATACTCTGGGGGAACAAAACAAGGTAGAATTACAAATGCATTTTTCTTCTTGGTGTTAGTTGGGATCTAAAGGCAGACAAAGTGCTTCAATGGCCATCTTATATCTATGTCAGTTAGGCACGGGCTGCACAGGAGAGTCACGGGTAATTTAGACCGAGTTTATTTTGAACGAGTGCCTGGAATGCCTTCCTGGGTCAAGCGGATACTTCCTTTGTTCTGCTGCAAACTGCTTCTGCCTGACACTGTTAATGCTCAGCAATCTGGTGCAGCTCATTCAGACTATCTGATAAACTGTAGATGTTTTTGCTAATAAATATTTACTGAGGGCAGAGACTGTCGTTGGTGCAATTTGGATAAAGAGGACATGATCTCTGCCAAGAAAATTTAAGTCGAATTAAGATATCTAGCCCGGTGCAGTGGCTCATGCCTGTAATCCCAGCTACTTAGTTGGAAGGCTGAGGGGGGAGGACTGCTTGAGCACAGGAGTTTGAGGCCAGCCTCCGCAACACAGCGAGACCTTGTCTCTTAAAAAAAAAAAAAAAATCTAAGAAAAAATAAGATAAGCTAAGTTAATGAAGGGAAAGTTCAACAAGGGGAATTAGTAGCTCAACATGTGGATGTTCAGACTCCTGATGAGATTTCATTGTAAGGGCTTATTTAATACTGATAACATGACAGATTATATTCATATACTCTTACGCATATAAAACTGAACATGGATTTTTTGTTTGTTTCTCTTCAACAATTTCAAAAGTCCATGAATAAACACAGATTTAAAGGTAAATTTAAAAATCACAGTAATTTCCTAGTTTACAAAAAGCTTATTCACTGAAAATTCATTTATATGTTAGTTGGGAACTAAGATTATATTTTCCTAAAAATATAATCTAAATATAAAAATAGAATGTATAATATAATTTTAGTGAGAGCTAAAATTATACCAAAAATTGTAAAACTCTTAGAAAAAAACACAGAGGTCAGATACCCAGGCTGGTCTTACTAAAGTTTGTTAATCCAAACATTTGTTGAACTGTAGTGTAGAAAATACAAAAGTATCTTACTGGTTTTCATGGCAAAAACACAAAGCAAACAGGTTTATTAAGTTGGATTTTGTGGGCTGCTGTGGAACGTACCGTCTATGATACTGTGAAGGAGGGAGGATCGCTGGAGCCCAGGAATCTGTACAGGAAGAGGCAGCCCTGGAGCGGCGCGTAGGAAGCAGTGTGCTGACGGCTCAGGAGCAGTCAGTGTACTGCCCGCTGCTCTTGGCCAAGTTACTGGAGTCCTTGGACAACTTTAAGGGAAAAAGTCTACAGTGGGTCCTTCCTCAACAAAGGCCCACCTTTGTCGTCGGGCCCAAGTCAGACATGGTTTGGTGGTAGTCACATTTTCCCTTGGTACCCTTGTATTCCTCAAACGCAAATATCAGATCTTTAATCCTTTTCCTGTTTGTTCACAGTCACCAAAGTTATTGAATTTAGCATAACAGGGGAACCTGACAGGTTTACTGTCAGATAAGGTACAGGATTTGAGAATGGCACCTTCTTCCTTGCAGTGGGACGCTGGCCAGCGAGGACATAGTCTTTTGGCTTTAGATGGGGCTGATAAGCGCGGCCAGACTGAGCTCCTTCCTCAAGCCTGGCTAGGGGCTCCCTTTCCCACACGGGTAAGGAACGCGTTCCCTCCTGAATGACCCTCTCAGTGCTCTCAACGTGCACTGAGTCAAAATGGGAAGGCGACAGAGCCCGGGTGCACTTGGCTGCCCGGATCTTTCCTCACCAGCACTAGGACCAAAGGTAAATTTTGCAATAAATTCCTCATTGTATACTGGCTAATAGACAACAGCTCTCACATACTCAGTGAGGATTTCCTTACTAAAAATTTGATACTATTCAGAATAATAAGATATAGTAATTTGCTTTTACATAAGCATTAATAAGTAAACAGCCACCAAATATAAATCTCAAATGTTAGAAGATGACAAATCCTTAACACTGTATCTCTAAGATTTCAGAACACATACTTGTTTCTGTTTTACCATATGGCTGTTCGTTTAATAAATATAACTTCATCAATGACATCATCTCTCCTACCCCACCCTCATCTCACGTGAAATAATAACTTTTCCAACAAACCAAATTAAAATGTTCTTATAACTTAGAGTGTAGGAGTCTAGAGTCCAACTAGTCCTTAGAGATCATCTATTTCAATCCGCTTATTCTACAGAGGTGAGACCCAGTCCTGGCAAGAAGATAGGATTTGTCCAAGGTCATGGAATGGCTGGTTCTGAACAGTACCTGGAGTCTCTTACCTTATTCTTTTCACATTATATTGCTCACACTTGCAAAAATATAAGTAGATTTGTGGTAAAAGATTTGTGTGTTTTTTAAATAATATTTTCCTTCAATTATAAAAATAATACACATTCAGTATAAAACAGCGGTCCCCAACCTTTTTGGCACCAGGGACCAGTTTCATGGAAGACAATTTTTCCGTGGACTGGTGGTGGGGGTGGGGAGGGTGGTTTTGGGATGATTCAAGTGCATTTATTGTGCACTTTATTTCAATTATTATTACATTGTAATATATAATGAAATAATTATACGACTCACCATAATGCAGAATCAGTGGGAGCCCTGAGTTTGTTTTCCTGCAACTAGACGGTCCCATCTGGGGATGATGGGACACAGTGATACCTGAAGTGTGTTGCTTATGTCCAGTCTACTCATTTTGGTTGCTGTCACTGCAGAAAAACCTGCTTCACAAAGACAGGATGTTGGAAATGGAAGCAGGCTTTGCAGTGCTTTTGTGGCAATCTCAGGATATTGCGCTTTGACTTTAATCCAGAACATATGGAGATTTGAAATTGTCTCAAACATACTTTTAAGGCCACCGTCATTTGCAACCTCAAGCAGCTGATCCTCTTCTAGCACAGACAAAGTTGATTCACCTGGCTTATTCACAAATGGGTTGCAGATCCATTCCTTCCCAGTTTGACGGGTTTTCATGGTTGGGAAGTAATGCTCGAACTCTTTTGAAAGCTGAGATAGGTGATTGTGCACCAGCTGGGAGAAAGGAGGCCCTGGCTCAGTCTCTTTCAAAATCTCTGCTAATGTTTGAAACCTGTCAAAAATCCCAGTGTTCACTCTTCGCCCCCATAATTCCAGTTTGGCTTGGAATGCAGCCACTTTATCTGCTGACTTGAACACAGTTGTTGTTCTCCCCTGAAATGACAGACTGAGTTCATTGAGCAGGTTGAATATGTCACACAAGCAAGTTTTGCGACCCATTCTGTGTCACTGAAATGTGCTGCCAGTGGTGAGTGTTTTGCTAAAAGAAATCTCTGGAGTGGCTCTTGTAACTCAAAAACTCTGGCCAGTGATCTACCTTTAGAAAGCCATCGCGCTTCTGTGTGTAAGAGAAGACATGTGCTCTGCGTCCGTCTCCTCACAGAGCTGTGTGAACAGACATGAGTTAAGGCATGTGCTTTAATGTGGTTGATGATTTTAATCACATCCTGCAAAACATTGTTTCGCTGAGGTGACATTTTTCCACTAGCCAGCAATTCTCTATGGATGACACAGTGTGTAGACTCACATTCAGAGGCGACCTTTTTGACCCGAGTAGTGAAACCAGAAAGCCATCCAGTCATGGCAGCCACTCGGTCCGTCCATGCATATACTGACACAAAATGACCAATTCAGTTTTCCTGATATGTGTCATTCAAAGACTTGAACAGTTCTGCAGCTGTGGTGTTGGTTGGCAACAAAAGTGCACATAACATATCCTCATGCACATCCTCTGGAAAAATAAATCCCACAAAAACAAGCATTGTTGCCTTGTTGTCAACATCAGTAGACTTGTTAACCTGGAATGCATACCACTTGTTAACCTGGAGTATACCATGCATACTCATTAATCCTCTCTAACAATTGTGCCTCAATATCCTCTGCTATTTCATCAATTCGTCTAGCTATGGTGCTAGCTGAAAGAGGAACACGTGCCACCACCTTTGGAACTGCAGCCTCTCCTAAAAGCTCACAGCAAATGTCCTTAGCAGGCAGGATCAACTCTTCACCAATGGTAAAGGGCTTCTTAGCTTTAGCAATGCAGTTAGCCACTAAGAATGATGCTATCCGTGCAGACACATTTGATGAAGTGGTGGCCTTCAATAATTGCTTCTGTTCTTAGTGTTCATGTTTTTTTCTTTTGAAAACTCCAAAGACTTGTCTTTTAATGCAGGGTGCTTGGTCTCCATGTGGTGAAGCAGTTTTGAAGGTTTCAAGGCTTCGTTGGATAGCCGGCTGCCGTATATTATACAAAGTGGGCTTGGAGAATGTGAATCACCTGTTGCAATGAACCCTTAATTTAAGTAGGACTCTTGGTATTTTCTTTTAAATGCAGTTTTCATTAAATGCAGTCTCAGAGTCTTCTGCTGTCTCATCATTGGGTCTTTTTGCCTTTTCAAAGAAGCTCTCCAGCAATGTTTGTTTTTCACTCATTTTCTCTGGGGTTAGCTTGTGGGCTCACCAAAACTGTGACTGAGACAAGTGCACAGTGCAGAAAAGAGGCGCAGATGGAAGTGATAAATAAAATTATGGGTGGGCCATGTCAGGACTAAAATAAGTGTTGGATTCTGACTTAAAGTCTGCCACCAGATGCAGCTTATTTGTCACTTGCCACTCACTGACGGTTTTTATATGAGTCTGCAACTTTTTCTTTTTTTAGAGACAGGGTCTTGCTCTGTCGCCCAGGCTGGAGAGCAGTGGTGTGATCATAGCTCATTGTAATCTTGAACTCCCGGACTCAAGTAATCTTCCTGCCTCCGCCTCCTGATTACCTGGGACTATAGGTTCGTGCCACCACACCCAGCTAATTTTCAAGAATTTTTTGTAGAGACAGGGGTCTCACTGTGTTGCCTAAATTGGTCTCAAACTCCTGGCCTCAAATAATCCTCCTGACTTGGCCTCCCAAAACACTGAGATTATAGGCATGAGCCACGGCACCCGGAATGACATAATGTTTTCTTTCTTTCTTTTTTTAATCTCTGCAGCTTTGCCAGGAATAAAACAATGTTTTCTTGATATAGATACAGAAAAAGAATCACTTTAAACAATTTCTGATTCATTTGCAAATTTCTTGTTTTAAATGTCGTGCTTTATTGATGCACAGATTGTCTTATTCAGTGATACTATTTTAGCTGTGGATCCAGTAAGAACAGGGTGACTTGAGGCTTAGCATAGCCCTTCAGCAGAGAGCTGGAAGAATATGAACTTGAGAAGACAACATAAAAGAAAAGTGTTGTCAAAGGTCAAGATAGCCAAGATTGCACAGAGGTATCGCAAGATCAGGCATATTCACTCATGGGCTTAGAAATGTGGGTGAGGAAAATACTTTTCCTCTACCCTCCTGGGTTCAGTAGCTGAGGCCTATGAATTAAACTGAAAAAAGACAAGTTAACAGAAAAAAAGGTTTATGTTATACGCAGGCAGGCTCTTCCCAGAAAAGAAGTGAAAACCCAAGGAGGTGGTTTGGTATAGAAGACCTGGGAGCTTATATATCATTTTAACAAAGGGTGACAAATTGTGACTAGACAAGGGAAAGGGAGATGGGATTCTGGGGAAGTTGTGGGAAGGTAAATATATGGGGTAAATTAATGGAAGATCAGGGGTATTATTTTAGTAAGGTCTGTTTTTGCAGACTCAAGTCAGTGTGAATCGTCTCCGGCGATTAAGAATCTTCTCCTCTTTGTGGTATGGGAGAAGGAGACCTCCTTACAAATAGAAATTTATGTTGCTGTTATAAAGTGAAATTTATGCCCTGTTTTTGGCAAAAAGGTAGACAGCAGAGATTTCCTCCTGTGTCTACTGTTTCTTTCTTTCTTTTTTTTTTTTTTTGAGAAAGAGTCTTAACTCTGTTGCCCCTGCTAAAGTGCAGTGGCGTCATCATAGCTCACAGCAAACTCAAACTCCTGGGCTCAAGTGATCCTCCTGCCTTAGCCTCCCAAGTAGCTGGGACTACAGGTGCGTGCCCCCATGCCTGGTTAATTTTTCTATTTTTTATAGAGATGGGGTCTTACTCTTGCTCAGGCTGGTCTCAAACTTCTGACCTCAAGCAATCCTCCCGCCTCACCCTCCCAGAGTGCTAGGGTTACAGGTGTGAGCCACCGTGCCCAGTCTTGCTGTTTCTTAATTGCCTTCAGCTCAAAATAATCCTCATGCCCAAATGGCAAATTTTGGGGTGGCATAATCTAATCCCCTCCTCTCATGTTGCCTGATTGCTGGTATATTCCCCTCCTTACATGTTGGTTCAGAAGACTGTTTCCACATCAAGTCCACATTTCCTTGTCTGTATTCACCATTTGGAATTACAATGAGAGTTTAAGGATTAAATGCTTCAATATAACATTCAGTTCAGAAAGCATCAATTTTACTCACATCTGGTGTCTGTGCAGCTGAATTCCACATAACCGGCCTCTGAAGGAATACCACCTGCTTGGTAGCCAAATTCCCTTCACTGCAAAGTAAAACAATAGCGTTTAGTACTTGTGCATTAGTAATTCTCTATATTTCACACTTGGCAAGAATGCTCCACATATATCCTTTGTAAAATAATCTGAACAAAAATTAATTATATAATTTTTTATAAGTAACAGCTGGAAAAACAAGAAAAAGCCCCTAAAAATTGAATATGGTCATTACAAAAGAAAACAATTTTAATGTTTAAAATGCTTGCAATTTCACCATGCTACCCATTTTCATCTCTTTGCTTCCCTTGTTGGTCTTTCCCAGCTTGTGTATTTTTGCATATTTATATTTCTGTTTCTGTGCTTTTTACTGAACACCCTTTTCTTTGTTTTTACATCGTAATCATATCTTTAATGATTGCATAATGGCTCAAAGATAAGATACCAAATGTACTAAGCCTTTCCTTTATTATTGGAAAACTAGGTTGTTTCCAGTTTCTTGCTAATTATAAATAATGCTAGTAATAAAAATATGTGTAGTCTTCCTTTTATGAATTATTTCTTTGACATAAGTTCTCAGGAGTGGAATTATTAGGTCAAGGGAATATGATTTAAGCTTCTTAGTATGCATTGTAAAATTTCCCTTATAAAAAGAAGAGACCAATTTGGACTGCCACACGTGAGAAATGTTACATACATTTTCAATTGAGGGACTTCGACCACAGCTAGTTTTATTTTCAGATGCTTCTTTGTAGTCAGCTACTCAGTATTCTCCTTATTTAACCATCATCATGGCAAATTACCCCTTGCCAAAGACTACTTGGGGTTTGTATTTCTCTGAAATGCTTTTCACAGAGTCTCCATGGATTTATGGGGAGGAGTGTCTGTAGCTAATGTTGCTGAGTTACGACTTTTATTATGCAAAAAACCCCAACAAAACCTTACTATTAGCTGCATTTTATGCTGAGCTCTTTTTCTGGAAAATGAATGCAACATTGAAACTCTGGTTCTAGAGATATATGTCAACTGCACACCACTGAAAATGCCAAACTTATTGATATCACTGAATTTTGAGAAATATCAAATCTTTCCCAAAGTGGTAACAGGAGATTGCTTCTTTTTTATTTTTATTTTTAAAAGGCTATTTCTGGTCTAATCTGATTTTAGTTTGGCCTTGTCTTTGATTAGACCAAAAGACTTGGTATAAAATATATGGTAACTTTTGGGAACAACTTAATTCATCATGAGACATCAGTCGGTACAGGGATGGGGTTAGCATGCATACAGAAAAGGCTGGTCATATGTTTGGGAGGCATGGAGTATACTGGAAAAAGCAGTGACTTTGGAAACAAAAAGTTCAAGTCTGAACTCTATCATAATAGAGAACAACTGATGACTTTAGTCAAAGTCCTTAAATTCTCAGACTCAGTTTCCTATCAGGGACCTTGTGAAGGATAAATAAGTCAACGTGCAGGAAGAGCCTCCCGCTGTGTCTGCCTCTAGAAGGGGCACAACAAATGCAATCCCACTTTCTCCAGGAGTCTAGTGAGATGTGGTGTAGAGTTAAGGGGAAGGGAAGTGTCTCAGAATCAAAAATATCTTCCAAAGAGCAAATTCCAGAAAAAGGGTATATGAGAATAGAGATTTCTGGGTAATGTTCGAGGCGTGTGATCCAGGTAGAGAATCACAGGAAAGAGCCAGGCCTAGAACTATCCGCAGATGAGACAGCGATCGGGGCACAGTTATTCACTTGAATAAAAAGCAGGAGCATGTCAGGGTAGGGATTGTGGGTGACCCTGCAGGGAGTTCTTTCCAACTGATTATTAGGATGGGGAAGTCTGAACGCACTAGGATGCGAGGTTTGGCCTAGGGCGGGCCTCTGGAACTTTACTGTGCATCCCAAACACTGAGGTGCTTGTTCGTTTCAGGGTCCACTCCAGATCTGTGGACTCTCCAGTTCACCGTGCTCGCCAGGTGCCCCGGTGCACAGTAAATTCGGGAACCACTGCTGGAAGAGACAGACTTTGAAATGCAGAATTCTTGGGCCCTGGGGATTACCTGGTGATGCTTCCTATTATCAGAAGGCATGCAGTGTTGATGGTCCTTGAATAATAAAACCCATCAGTGCTTCTTCTTTGTATGGAATGTGAAAATGAAAAGGACTCATTCTCTGGAGCATCCTTTTTTTTTTTTTTTTTGAGACAGAGTCTCACTGTGTTGCCTGGGCTAGAGTGCCGTGGCGTCAGCCTAGCTCACAGCAACCTCAAACTCCTGGGCTCAAGCGATCCTCCTGCCTCAGCCTCCCGAGTAGCTGGGACTACAGACATGCGCCACCATGCCCGACTAATTTTTTTTTCTATATATTTTTAGTTGTCCAATTAATCTCTTTCTAATTTTAGTAGAGACAGGGCTCGCTCTTGCTCAGGCTGGTTTCGAACTCCTGAGCTCAATCCACCCGCCTCGGCCTCCCAGAGAGCCAAGATTACAGGCGTGAGCCACCGCGCCCGGCCCTTCTGGAGCATCCTTGATGCCTATTTTTTTTAACACCATATTCTTCTAATGTGACATGTGTCCTTAAATATTTTGGACAATTTTAGCCGGACAGGCTACCTACAGCCACGCTGAGGACACATATATTTTGCCAGCTTTAGTTTTTTAATTCATTCTGATGTACAGTGCCCAATTCTGGGTTGAGAACCATTGCCTGCATGTTCGAAATAGGATTCTCTCTACCAACATTCTGTTTGGTATTTAACGCAACAGGCAGAGGCGCAGTACACCTGCCTGGCAAAGGGGAGGGCAAACCAACCACAGCCACTTCAGTGGAACAGTGGCACAGACAAACCTATCACTCCTGTGGTGTGCAGGGATTCACCGCTGTAAGGACAGAAGCAAGCTAACTTGCCTGCCTGCCTGCCTGCCTTATTTATTTATTTTTAGAGACAGAGTTTTGCTCTGTCACCCAGGCAAGAGTGCAGTGGCCAATCATAGCTCACTGCAGCCTCAAATTCCTGGGCTCAAGCGATCCTCCTGCCTCAGCCTCCCAAGTAGCTGGGACTATATGTGCCACCACACTTGGCTAATTTTTCTATTTTTTGTAGAAACAGGTCTCAAACTCCTGACCTCAAGCAATTCTCCTGTCTTGGCCTGCCAGAATGCTAGGATTACAGGTGTGAGCTACCGTGCCTGGCCTAAAAACACACTTATAAAAAGCTTTTGTTTATGGTTCCAAAATTCATTATACTAAATAGAATTATTAGGTTAATTTGTATTTTCTGATTAATTTTGCTTCATCTTATATATTAATTAAATGCCATGGTTTAACATTTGCAACTCAAAAGTAAATGAGTAAAAACAAATAAAAAAAGTAAATGAGTAAATTCTTGCTTTTAAAAATTGAAATAAAATTTTGTTTTTTAAAGGCAAAATTATAAAATTAAATTTTAGCTTACAATTTTGTAGCTACATGCTTAGCCACAAAGTTCCTTTGCCTTCTGACCCTGATTTGTTTCTCAGGTATTAGTGTGTGTGCATTAAAAACAAAAAACAAAGAGCATTACCACAATTTAGCTTCTCAACCCTCCTCACCCCCAAAATGTTAAAAATTTGAGTTCAGATGAAGAAGACTGATGATAATTGGAAGTATATATTATAGACAAATGGACTATTTTGAGAATGTGGCCTTATCAAAATCCTGCTTACAGCAAGATTACTGTGAGCTTAACGCTTGATGGAATTACAAGACACTGTTTCTACAGAATTTAAATAGGAAATAGAAGAGAACTGCATTAATGTCAATTAATGTTTAATGTCAATTTTAATGTCAATTTTCACCTTGAATTTTTTTTTTCCTACCTCTTGGAATTAGGTGAAATCTTTTTTTTTTTTCTTTGACACTGTCATAAAACAGTATCACCTTGAATTCTTTAAGAGAGAAAGAATTGGATCCATTGATATTATTATATAGTGATAATGACTAAGAAGGGATTCTGGCACGTTTTCAGGGCTGACAACAATAACCCTGGAATAATGCGGTAATATCAGATTACAACATCATGATGTTTCCATGGTAATGCAGCTTTAAACCTGGGTGTGTGACATTGCCTAGGATAATGAAGCAACAACTTCAACCTAGGGACACACTGGAAAAATATCTTTATGTAATCCAATAACAAGATATATTTGAGTGATGAAGGAAATTAGGGGAAAACACCTTATGTATATAAGACATTCAAGTGTGGCTTAGGTGACAGAAGAGTAGGAAAAAATTGAAATTGCTTAAGACACTATTGTTGTATTTAATACAAACACATTTAAGGAAGAAAGTTTTCACTGGCAATAGTTCTGTTTTCAGACATGTGGGCCCCAAAATAAAGATCATGATAGGAATTTGTTTTTCTGAGTGTGAGCATATGTGTAAGGATACATCTTTGTAATATCATTATTTATTTCTGTTGCTTTTATTGTCTTGCAATCCTCAGGGCTGATTTTGTATATAGTGAACTATAGTATTTGCATTTTCTGAATCATCCTGATTCACCATGCACACCATGCACAGCTTCCACATGCTTTTACTGATTAACTTTTTGCTTTTTAAATTTGATTTTTAAAACATTATGGAATAATTATTCCATATTTATATCTAATAAACATATGGAATAAAATGAATCTTTCTTATAAAAATCAAATAATACAAAATATAGAAAGACAAAATAGAAGTCCCCACTCTCTTCTTCCCCACCCATAATACCAAGAGCTAACCACTCACTAGAATTTGCTATGTAGCCTTTCAGAGTTTTGTTAGATATATTCAAAATGTGTTAGCTTTAAAAATTGGGATTATACCCTAATAATGTCTTGCTTTGTAAAAAAAAAAAAAAAAACAAAAAACCTCAATAATTATCACAGAAAAAAATCCTATGATAATACATATATGAATCTACTCATTCTATTTTTATCAGCTTCATACTATTCTATTGTATGAATAGTCCATAACTTATTTAACCAGTTGATAATGATAGACTTTGTTTCCAATTTTTTACCATTACAAACAATAGTTTAATGATCAGCCAAGCAACTAGCCCTTTTGCTATTTTAATTACACATAAAGATAAGCCTTCGGCCAAGCCTGGTGGCTCATGACTGTAGTCCCAGCTACTTGGGAGGCTGAGGTGGGACGATTACTTGAGCCCAGGAATTCGAGACCAGCATGGACAACATAGCTAGATCCCATCTCCAAAAATAAAAAAAGATAAGCCTTCACAAACAGGGTATGAAAGGACCACTTCTGTGATCCCATAATGCGTTGGTGGATACTAGGGGTGCAGGGAAAGTTTGAGTGATGGTGAGGTACTGATGCCTCCCTCCCTACTTCTGCTCCAGAAATAATATACAGCCACTCCTCAGCCCAGTGGGTCTCCCAATCACTGAGTACAGGTCGTGACCTTATGTAGTTCGGCATACAGGACAAGGTGGTCAAGTGTGGCTCCAGGCTCTACCACCCTCCCCCTTCATCGTATACTCGGGGCCTCCTTAGCCCCACCTTTGGGCCCAGTCATATCCTCATTCCCACACCAACCCCGACTGATGCAGGAGCAGCTGAGGGAGCTCCAGCCCCGTGTTCTATGGCTCGGTCTCATCTAGTGCCCCGTCGTTCGTATCACTTTAGGAGATATTTAGACTCCTGACAGCAGAAGCCCTGGGTGAACGGGAGGGAAGGACAAATGAATTTTTCATTGGAGAAAAAGGAACAGGAAATGTTCAGAACTCACACTTTTTGGGAAGGTCTCCTTGTAATGGGCTAAGCGACACCCTAAAACAGGCACCCAAGAGAAAAACGAAAAAGAGAAGAGGGGTCCAAATACACAAGTCGTTCCGAGGAGGGTGGGGTGTAGGATATGTGAATGGCTTGGTGGAGCCGTGGTGAGGGGTAGGAAGGCAGGGAAGAGGAGTTCCTTTCTCTTTCACTACTTCCTGCAAAGTTTCTCAAATGTTTAGTATGTTTTCTGTGCTTGTGAAATCACAGATTCATGGGTCCCACACTCAAAGCTTCTGACTCTGTGCACCTGGGGTGGGCCTCCAGCACCTGTATTTTCACAGGCTGTCCAAGTGACTCACATTGCCTGGTCTAAGACTGAATCTTGAGAATTACTGTTATTTGACAGGTATGTCACAGATTAGAAAAAGTTGGGAAATAATGCTTCAGGGGGTTGTTACTCAATTTGAGAACAGTTACTACAGATCTCCGAGAAGAAAAGCAGGTGAATTGCTTTGCTTACTTCTAACACCCCTTTTTTGTTCTTTCAGCTTGAGTATCTTCACTTTATATCCACCTTAACTCCTTTCCCTACCTGGAGAAGATGTGGCTTTATTATAAAGCCATGTCAATCAAATGTTTTTCAGTTTTGTGGGGACACTGGGATACTGGACAGGGCTAAGTTGCTGAACTGGGAAGGCCAGAGAAGGGAGGAGGGGGGAAAACTAAGGAAGGAGGAGCTGCCTTCGTTAGCCACACCTGACAATCACTCAGAATGTTGAACTTATGGTTGACTCTGCTGAAAGGGAAGGCCCGGGGGTACTGTGCTGTCCTCTGTAGGTAGTCACCGGCCGGGCAGGACAGCCGTGGCAGTCAATCATTTTCTGGATGCCAAAGAGGGCAGAGGAAATATCTCTGGTCCATTTTACACAGAAGACTTAATTAGTTTCTTTCTGTCTCTATAAAAGTAGGACTCAATTTTTCCTTCCCAGGAAAGTTAGTAAAAGGAGAAAAGGAACAGGAAAGGTTAGTACTTGAGAAGCATTGGCATTTTGTTCTAATGTAGGTATTTATTTTAATGGAAACAGCTAGCAAGTCCATGCTCCAGGGGAAAACTAACCCACGACACTGGAGGGGAGGAGGCAGAAGCGATCCTGTATCCTGGCTCAGCTGAGCCCCTGCTACAGTCCTAAACCTGGCTGTGTGCTGGGCGGGGACAGTTTTGTATGTGTGGTGCGGAGGCCTAACAGCCTGTACATCCATAACATGAGGAGGTTGGGTTTGCTAATCTCCAAGGTCCATGAAATCAAATTAGAAGTTCCGTAAATATTTTCTGTAGGCATTAAATAAGCATTCGTTAAATTGAATTATCTAACAAATGAAGTTATATTTTAGAATTAAATGAGACTATGTAAGGAAACTTTTGCATTACCTGTCATGTCTTAATATAGGTGTAGGCAACACGCTTGTCAGGAGCCATCCAAATTCAGCTAGAGTGTGCAGCAGAGGGCCATAGTCCGTTTTGATTTCACAGCCCTGCATGAATAAGAGTAAGAGCTCATAGTCTAATCGCAGACAACCAGCTACACAATTACAATAACGGGAGATGGGGAATTCACTTTCCATTAAGTACAATTTCCACTGGGCTGCAGCCTTCTTGGGCTTTGTTTTTTGGTACTGCAACTTTTAAACCACCAAGCCAACTTAGAAACATTGGGAGTAGAGAGAGGTTTACATCTGGTTCTCCAAAGTTTGGGCCTTCCTTTGGTTTTGTTAGGGCAGTGGTTCTCAAACTTTAATGTATGGGTGGCTGGGAATCTGCATTTTAAAAAGAGCTCCAAGTAGGTTCCAGAGCACACTTTTAGAAACACTGGTCTAGGGATTGGGAAGTGTGGACAAGAGTGGGAAGTGAGGAGGGGTTAGTGAAGGGGAGAGGAGCTTCAATGCGGGAGCCTTTTCACTGCTTTTTATTCATTTGGAATTGATTCTTGGAGCTTTATCTCTTCCCTCAAATCCTTTTTCCCCCTCAATGGGATTTCTAGTTTCTTTGAAAATGGGCTATGTCTCTCTAACCTTTGTAAGGCCAGAAAGGCAAAAGTGTTCCTAAAAGGGGCTGTCAGTGAGGGCCCCATACACCCAACAGGATACACCCGAATTCAGTGTGTACACCTCGAGGGCAGTCCATTCGGTGCCATCTGAATTCACAGCGCACAACCTCAGCAGCAATGTCATCTCTGATTATGGAGGACAATGCTGTGCGCACGTGCTTGGGCTGGCGAAAGAGAGAACACTTTTTGGATATTTTTGCTTTCTAAAGTCAATTCATAAGGTTAAAGTCAGTCACGTTGGTTGCTTGGAGATAAAACACTAGTTGAGTGACTGAATTTTTTTTCACTTTCAACCAGTTGTCATGGAATTGTGTGAAGAGGATCTCAGTGCCAGGGGACTTGGTTTAGGGTTAGAATGCCAAATAGTTGGGAACCTACTGCTATTTATGTATAGATAATTATTTTGCTGCCTTACAAAAAAGTTTAATATTGGGTAAAGCAAATTTACTTTTCACAAATTTGGAAGAAGTTTGTTCCTGCCTTTGTGATGAAATTGCAAACAATGAACAAATATGTATTTAAGGATACTGCAGGTGCCAGGCAATGAAGATCTTTAACATAAAATGAAATACAAAAATAAAGTTAAGTTGTCAGAAAACTGCAAATCACCTCAATAACGGTCCATTGTTCTACTACAATGGCATCATTTCCTTTCCTACTAGAACCTGGAACTCCAGAACCTTCTTCTTCATAGATAAAAAATCCTTCCAAAGACTTAGGCAAATGGTCGCCTGTGAGGAAAAGGATACAATTAACAAGAGTTGTAAATACTAAGTGTCTCTTAAGATTATCTAAATCCTTAAATAACCCTTATAGAAAGCTGAAAGAAAAACATATCAATAAAAAAACATTTGTTTTCGCTCAATCGATAACATCCTCCTCCTCACTGAAAGTTTTCTTTTCTCTCCAAAGATCAAGACAGTTTTATACTTTACTGAATTAAAATCAAACCATACACGTGAAAACTACAATAGCAAAAACAAGATATGACAATGTGATATAGTGAGAAGCGAGTGGAAAATCAACCTAAAAAGCATCTGGAAATGATCTTCACCTTGAAATCAAATTTTGGTTTCTGATCTATGTATTGTAAGCACATCAATTATACCATTAAGAGAGATAAAAAATGTTAATCCTTGAAATTAAAGGTATGATATTAAAATTAATGTGAGGTAAGATTACTTCAAAAATCTAAACACAGAACAATTCGTTACCTCAATGATGCATTAAAAAAACCACACACACACACACACACACACACACACACATACACACACACACACAGAGTGACAGGAAGACCCCAAACAGAAGTCATTGTCAAAAGAATTCCTGCTGGGAAGGAAGTTTTAAGGGAGGGCCACTCTGACTTTTTCTTGAGTAGTTGACAATAACCAGCTGGCCTAAACTAAACTGATTCTATGGAAGTTCTTTTGTCTCCTATTCTGCAATAGGAGACACTTTTCCCATGGTTATGTGCTGATTAAATATTTTGGTTTTTATGCAGCACAATGTCACATTGAAGTTTCCTGGTTGACAGTTCTCTAAATAATATAGGCCTACAAAGTTTTCAAATGCTCTTTTAAGCTTAAAGATAAAAAAAGACAAAAGTAATTTTCAGTTTTAATTTTTATCAACAGGCTATAAACTTTAAGAGAAAATCATTATCATTATGTTTTTCGACATCACTCATAGTTAGGGCAGAACACCATGAAGAATTTACATTGTTCAGAGTGGTTCCCAAGTATCCAGTAAAGTTTAATTTATTAACTGGAATTGGTTTTCTATTACAGTACATATTTCACTTCCCTTAAATATCTTATCCACTGTCCCACCAAAGTGATCGGTGGAATCAAGTCTGTTTCTGATGGAAAGTTTAGGGAATCATTAGACCATCTTTCAAATCATATATGTCCCAAGTCCTTTTTTAGAATGGGGGTATAAGTTTTAAAAATAATTTTATACTGTGATAATTACACAGTTAATTACAATGTGCCTTTTATTTACTTTGGGGTTATATAATGTGAAAACCATGGGCTTTGTGGCTTTGTTTTCTTGCTCTCGATATTGGGATGTACTAGTACAATCATACTCATTTACTGTGCTTTGCTTTATTGTGCTTATTTTTTTTTTTTTTTTACAAATTGAAGGTTTGTGGCAACCCTGAGTTGAGCAAGTCTATCAGCGACATTTTTGCCAACAGCATGTGCTCACTTGGTGGCTCTGTGTCACATTTTGGTAATTCTCACAATATTTTAAACTTTTTCATTATTATCGTATCTATTATGGTGATCTGAGATCAGTGATCTTTAATGATACTATTGTAATTGTTTCGGGGTGCCACGAACCATGCCAATATAAGATGGTGAATTTAATTGATAAATGCTGTGGGTGTTCTGACTGCTCCACTGGCCAGCCCTTCTCCTGTCTCTCTCCTCTCCTCAGGCCTCCCTATTCCTTGAGACATAACAATATTGCAATTAGGCCAATTAATGACCTTACAATAGCCTCTAAGTGTTCAAGTGAAAGGAAGAGTCACACTTCTCTCACTTTAGATCAAAAACTAGAAAAGATTTTTAAGTTTAGTAAGGAAGGCATGTTGAAAGCTGACATAGGCTAAAAGCTAGGCCTCTCGTGCCAAAGAGTTAGTTAGCCAAGTTGTGAATGCAAAAGAAAAGTTCTGGAAGGAAATTAAAAGTGCTACTCCAGTGAACGTAAGAATGGTAAAAAAGTGAAACTGCCTTATTGCTGATATGGAGAAAGTTGTAGTGATCTGGAGAGAAGATCAAACCAGCTATAACATTTCTTTAAACCAAAGGCTAATCCAGAGCAAGGCCCTAACTTTCTTCAATTCTATGAAGGCTGTGAGAGTCAAGGAAGCTGCAGAAGAAAAGTTTGAAGCTGGCAGAGGTTGATTCGTGAGGTTTAAGGAAAGAAATCTCCATAACATAAAATAATATAAAAATTCTCCATAATATAAAAAATCTCCATAATATAAAAATGCAAAGTGATGGAGCAAGTGCTGATGGAGAAGCAGCAGCAAGTTATCCAGAAGATCTAGCTAAGATCATTAATGGTGGCTACACTAAATAACAGATTTTTAATGTAGACAAAATAGCCTTTTATTGGAAGAAGATGCCATCTAGGACTTTCATAGCTAGAGAGGAGAAATCAATGCCTAGCTTCAAAGGACAGGCTGACTCTCTTGTTAGGGGCTAATGCAGCTGGTGACTTTACGTTGCAGCCAATGTTCATTTACCATCCTGAAAATTCTAGGGTCCTTAAGAATTATGCTAAATCTACTCTACCTGTGCTCTAAAAATGAAACAGCAAAGCCTGATGACAGCACATCCGTTTACAGCACGGTGCACTGAATGTTTTAAGCCCACTGTTGTGACCTACTGCTCAGAAAAAAGATTCCTTTCAAAATATTACTGCTCATTGATAATGCACCTAGTCACCCAAGAACTCTGATGAAGATATAGAAGGATACAGGAGATTAGTTTTCATGCCTGATAGCACAACATCCACATGGATCAAGGAGTGATTTCGACTTTCAAGTCTTATTATTAAAAAAAAATACACGGCCGGGCGCGGTGGCTCACGCCTGTAATCCTAGCTCTCTGGGAGGCCGAGGCGGGCGGATTGTTTGAGCTCAGGAGTTCGAGACCAGCCT